CGAGACAATAGTCTATTCCTACACACTACAGTGTTACCAGAATATTTTTCTGTTATTTAAGTGTTTTATTAGTGACAGTCTGATTATATTCACAGAAGTGCAAAAAAATAAAAAAAAAAAACAGTGTAGCTAATAGGTACACTAATAGACACCCATCCAAATGAAGGCATACGCACACGCTGGAGATAAAAGTACCTACTAGCTTTTGCCTCAAGCGTACTAAATACCAGATTCTTTAAGAATGTACTAGACTGGCAACACTGACACACTACACACGCGAAAACCATAATATTAGGTATATACCAAAATATTACAGTACAAATCATGCGCTGTATGAACTTTATGCATAAAGCGCATGGTGTTTTTTTGTACCTTACCGTAATATTATGGTTTTTGAGTGTATTGGAACAGACCTGGAATAGACCTGTTGTAAATTAAAGCTGCCGGATTGCCATTTGGTTAAAGTGATCACCGATTAGAATCAATATTGTCTTGAGATAGGCATGCAATTGGCCTAATATTGGCAATAATTTCAAACTATAATATTTTTATTTTTTAATCAGCAAAACAGGTTTAATAGGTGCACGCAACCCTTAACAACGTAAACTGAAACTGCCGATTGCCACATGTCTAAAATAATTAACGATTTGATTTAATATTAGTTTGAGATAGGCATACAATTGGCCAAATATTGGCTTACATTTCAAAATACACAGCATTAAATTCTTATTTGTTAATTAGCAAAAAAATATTGTACTTACATTTTATGAAAAAAAAAAAAATCCCTCACTCAAAAGCACAGTTTCACTAAATAAAAAATGTGTAGCTTATATTAGAACAAGTATCCGGGCAGCGTACATCTGTTAACTGCTGTTACAAGACTGAAGCAGTGAGCAGCTAGGCAAGGTGGCGCGTTCTGGTGATCTCTCACGTGACTTAGGTCGGAGGGGTGGATAAGATGGTTTCATAACAGCTCTGGTGACTGCCGTATCCCGAGAGTTAGAGCGTAGCTAGATCTAATATCTTAATCGGTAAACTGGGGCTAGGCTAGTTTGTTTTTATACATTTTTGCTTAGTAAAATGTTCGAAACCTAATAATTTTAATTCAATAATAATTGTCTAGAACATTCATTTGGTTTAAATAAAATATTGGTATGTAGTGGTCAAATTCGTAGGTAGATACCTATATTGATATTAGGATTTATTTCCAAAATTAATACTTTTCTAATATAGGTAGGTATACTAAAAATCAGCTATTTCAATATTAAATTATTACCATTATATTTTTATAATTTAAATATTAAACTCTTTAGTTGTTCTATTAAAAAAATGCAAAATTTGACGTTTCGTCTTAATCCACAAGTCCCACAACGCATTTTTTAATGGAATTAAACAAAATCTTTTTTTAGTAAACAATTACCACTTGGCATTAACCGACGTTTTAAAATAAAGTCTTTGTTTCATTTGGAAAATAATCGATTAATTCCATCAGCATACTGATATGGCCTACAAATGTAAATTATGTAGAAAATAGATAATATGCAAGTAGTTGTAGAAAAAAATCAATAAAAATCCAATTAAGTACCATTATTTGCTATATACAATAGAATAAAACTTATATTGGATTCATATTGGAAAAAACGTTGCCAATAAGAACATAAGAAATACATGTACAGCTATTATTAATCCTATATTTCGGTATAAGACTGAATTATTTACCTAATATGAGATAGCAGAAACTAGCTCTCCAACATTGGTACTATCTAAAAAATAAAGTTTAAAACCTTGATAGAAAATCAATAAAAATCCACTAAACTACCATTATTTGCTATACTGCACCCACTTTGCAAAAAAATGGTAAATTATATTGGATTAATATTAGAAAAATAGGCGCTGCCAATATGAACATTAAAAAAAATATGTTGGGCTGATATTGTTTATATGTTTTAAATCAATATATTTTTGATATCAGACTGAATTCTGTTGCCAATATAAGCTACTGCTATTTTGTCATCATTAAGAGAACATAGCTCTCTAACATTGGCAATATCAACAACCCATAGTTTAAACCAAAATAGAAAATCAATAAAAATCCAATAAACTACCATCATTTGCCATATTGGTCCAACATTGGAACAAAAATAATAAATTATATTGGATTAATGTAGAAAAAGTAGGCGTTGCCGATATTAACATTAGAAAAATATGTTGAACTGTTATTAATCCTATGTTTAGAATTAATATTTTTTTATTATAATATTAAATTCTTTAGCCTACTTTAATATTTACATTATAGATAGAACATAGCTCTCCAACATTGGCACTATCTACTAAACAAAGATTAAACCTACATAGAAAATTTAATAAACTACCAATATATAATATATTGCATCCACATTGGTACAAAAGTGATACTGTACATTGGAATAATATTGGAAAAATAGGCATTGCCACTCTGAACTTTAGAAAAATATGTTGGACTGATATTAATCATATGTTTTGAATAAATATTTTTTTGACATAAAATTGAATTCTGTTACCAATATTGGCAACTGCTATTGTTTCATCATTTAGAGAACATAATTCTTCAAGATTGGCCCTATCTACAAAACAAATATTAAACCTAAATAGAAAATCAATAAAAATCCAATAAACTGCCGTTATTTGCTATATCTCACCCACATTGGAACAAAAATGCTAAATTATATTGGATCAATATTGTGAAAATAGGTGTTGCCAATATAAACGTTAGAACCATATGTTGGGCTAATATAAAGGCAATATTATAAAGCAATATATTTTAGACATAAAATAAAGTTCTTTTGCCAATATTGGCTGCAGGTCATTAATATTGGTCCAAGTTTCAAATATGGGACCAACATTTTGCCAAGCCACAGCCAAGATTCATTGCTACCTGGGCAGTGACGTTCCACTGCGTACGTTTAATACAATTACAAATAAACTGTGTGCTAACTCTATAATTTTTTTGCACAATATTTGAATTTTCTGAATCTCTCGTGGGCCGAATTGAAGCTGGTGGAGGGCCGGATCCGTCCCGAAGGCCAAGGGTTGGCCACATAAGATCTAGAGCAATATGGCTGCAAAGCAACGATTTTGGGATACGTAAATAAAAATAATTTCTACGTGTTCAACAATATTATAAACCATTTTAAGAAACGGTTACAACTTGAAAAACGACAATTGGAAACTACTGAAATAATTTATATATTTTGTAAATCATGTTCACAGCTTATTTCACTAATCGAAGAAGCATAGAAAATAAATAAAACGAACGCCACGAGTCAGAAAATAAAGAACTGTACCTATCACTGGTAAATAATATCAGTACTAAGCAAAATGAGCATTTCGTTTATTTTATTTTTTTGTTGTGGCGAAATGTAAATAAATAAAAGAATTAGGAACAATAATTTTTAAATGAAGTGCTATGAGGCGTGAAGTTACATTTTAGATATTAAATACATTCCACACATTTGTGAGGGAATTAGACAAGGAACACAAAAATGATAAAAAATATAGGGGTTGCCATTTAAAACTTTTAGGCTTAGGTGCCCTGGGGTTTAGGGGATTGAAAGTAATACGACAACAGATGCCTCATCAATTGTTTCCCTTGAAATGTAAATTGATTTGTTTCCTCAAATTTTTATACTATCATTGGTAGATGCAATATTAAATGCTGTTCATTTTCGAATGTGTGTTTATTATGAGATATTTATTATTAACGATGTGCTAGAATGGAGATGAAAATATCCGCATAATAGCAATATTTCAAAATATTGTGACAAACATTACAAAAAGTAACAAAAATCATGATAGGGGAAGCAAAAATGATATTAGCGCTAGCTGCGAATAATTTGTGCATTTTAGGGCGATATTTTGTAATTTTGGCGTAACAAATATACGTATATATTTTACTTATTAAAAAAAAAAATGTGAAAAGCAATACAATGAGCAACCGGAGTTGCTGTGTTGTAAAGTGTAAAAATACTAGCAAAAAATAACAGTGTACTTTATGAATGTTCAGTAGCAAAATGGAAATTAAATCAAAGAAATAAACGTATCTATAATTGCAGTAAGAAGGGAACAGTAATTACAAACCTTTATTTTTGTATCAAGAGTATCTAATACCTTTTGAAAATAGTAGGCATCAAAAAACTGAAAGGTTTTATATACTTAAATTATTATTTCACGATGTTCTTCAAAATTCCTTAAGTACCTACATGTTCAAAATCGAAATATTTCTGCCAATGACACGTTCTCGTAAATACTGTTGCCTAATTAACTGTTCTGTGTGTATACTTACTCTTAGAGCAATGATCTAAGATTATACTTATTTTATAAATCAATATACTTTTATTAAAAGCAAAAATACATTTTTAAATTAGGAATTCTATTAAAAATGATACACGAAAAATCCCCTTTAGTACATATTTTAGTTGGTGCTGCCATCACGCACGTAGTGAATAGCCATATAGCAATAATGACTTGCCTACATTTTTTCTGTTGTCGTTTTTGTACCGGGTATTTCCCTACAGACCGCTAAAAATAAGAAAGTTCTCGAAAATTATGTATTATGTTAGAGACCTATTTTTACTAAAAAAGACGTAGAAGAAAAAAAGAAGATCTCTAGCCTTCAAAATCAAGGTCAAATTATAACAATGCATCTCAAAATTTTAGTGACATAACAGACCATAAAATTATTTTCTAATATCCAATAACATGAAGACTAAAGCTAGAATATTATTATCATCATTAAATGAGTGTTGTGATAAAAAACCAACCGAAATTGAAAAAGAAGCAATGACAAAATTTATTTATATCAACGATAATCTTTTTGCCGAAGATCTAAATAATAATTGTAAGTTTTCATCATCATATCAAATGGATTCATCAATACAGATATGCAAATCATCATGTTTGAAACAAAGCTGTCAAATTAGCTATTTAGGTCTGCAATTTTGTCCACCACATACAGTTATATGCTATATTGTTTCATGCACAACCCCTGTTTCACCTATATGTTGTTCATGTGCAGGAGTACCTTTAGAAGTTATAGGACCAATGCCTTGTCCATTACCATGTTGTGTTCCATGTCCACCTCCAGCATTACCACCGTGTGCAAGACCATGTAAACCACCATGTTGCCCCCCTTGTCCTCCTTCAGCATTACCACCATGTGCAAAACCATGTAAACCTCCAGCATGCCCACCATGTCCTCCACCTGCTCTACCACCATGTGCAAACCCATGTAAACCTCCATGTTGCCCTCCATGTCCTCCCCCTGCTTTACCGCCGTGTGCGAATCCATGTAAACCGCCATGTTGCCCCCCATGTCCGCCCCCTGCATTACCTCCTTGTGCAAAACCGTGTAAACCACCATGTTGTGCTCCTTGTCCTCCACCTGCACTACCACCTTGTGCACGACCATGTAAGCCTCCATCATGTCCTCCTTGTCCTCCTGCGGCTTTACCACCGTGTGCTAAACCATGCAAGCCACCTGCTTGTTCTCCTTGTCCACCTCCTGCTTTACCACCATGCGCAAGACCTTGTAAACCACCAGCCTGTTCACCTTGTCCACCTCCTGCTTTACCACCATGCGCAAGACCTTGTAAACCTCCAGCATGTCCGCCATGTCCACCTCCAGCTTTGCCACCATGCTCAAGACCATGTAAACCAGCGGCTTGTCCTCCTTGTCCTTCCTGTTTTCCACCTTCCTAAGTCCTAGCAAGCCAGACTTTAAGTTAATATTAACAAACAAAGAAAATTTTTATTGCAGAAAAGTAGGTACATCTTTTTCCTTTTACTTTCGGAATAACTTGTTGAAACTTGATTTTGCATTTTGTTTTGTTGATTTTGGTATTCTACACATAATGGTATAGTGTAGTAGCAGATTTATCAAAGCTTCTCCCTGAAGAACAGCAAAATCAAGATTTTGATAGTAGGTAGACACAAGACGGAAGGAGTCTTGCAGAAGAGATTTAGATCCAAGTTTTACTCCATCAAGATTTATAATTTTTATTATTTTTGATAAGTTTACTTTGAACCGTAAAAAGTATGTAATTTCCAAATAGCAAGCTTTATTTTGAGAGAGAAATGCTAACAATATTAAATTATACATTTTTAGATTTTGGTTGTTTTCTATAAGTGAATCCTTACCTAATAGTTAGGCAACACGTAAATGAATTACATTATATTCTACGTCCTAGTATTTTGAAAAAGAAAGTGGACAATAATGGAATACATTATTACCCACTTTCTTCGAACAGGAAACTCTTTTAAAGTAAAATATTATTAAAAGAATAGAAATCGAATAATGTTTTCTAAACCAAATTTTGGTAATACCTAATACTGTTTATTCGTGGTTTTAAATGGATCAAGAAATTGATGAATATGTTAGTGGACCATTAGTTTATATGTCGTTAAACATAAACTCAGTGGCGTAGCCAGAAATTTTTTATGGGAGGGGTTTCTGAGAACTATGGAACAAGGGGCTGGGATTCTATCAAAAAAGTGAAATATTTCAGATGGTTTTTTTTTTAAGTAAATAAAAATAATTTTTTTTAAATCGATAAAAAAGAATAAAAATAATCAGTTATTAGCGATCAGCGCCAATACGATGGCGGAAACGATGACGCGAAAGCCCTCAATGGAGGGATCTAGCTCCTCATCCTCCGTGGAAACGCCACTGTATAAACCTAATTGAATATTGATTAATAATATTAATAAGTAATAATTATGTGTTTTTTTTTAGGGTTAGGTAAAATAAAAGTCATCTTCAGCCACGCCATATTCTCTATTATATATACTAAAGTAAAAATTAATGAGTTCATTATTGAAAACAATACAAGAGAAAATTTAATGTGTACATGTCCCAACATTGCTGAGACGTTGAGCTATTACTTATTATAGAGTTCAAAATGAATCATTTAGACCCAATTTATATATACAGTATCGGCCACTGATCGTTTTCCAATACGCGTTACACAAGTGTAGGTGAAAACTACAGAGAGTTCCCAGCTAGTACAAAAACACCTCATCTACGTTAATAAGCTGCAATTTTAGGCTCTTTAAGCTCGCATACTTTTAATGTAACCCTAATATCTCTGCAACCGCCGAATGTCTGCAATGCAAGACTTTTATAGTACATCTCACAAAGGTTACAAAGTAAAGTTCGGAAAACATCACAGTAGCATTTTTACGATACTTACCCCGTAAGTTGTTCTAAAACGTCCTATAATTGTTATAATGTGAATTAGTTCCACGGCATTATACAGTGTGTCCACGGATGGACTTAACTATACTTGTAAAAATATTTATTTTAAATTAAAAAAGTAATTCTTCATAATTTCTTTTGCTTGTTAAATAAATACGATTCACATTATAAAAAATAACTTTTTTTAATTTAAAAAAACATACAGTTCATCAAATTTCTAGAGGTGTTCGACGCCCAGACAGAGAACGCGCTACGTGTGACTAAGATAGCTATTGTACAGTCTGCTAAACAAGTTATTTTAAATAGTTTTTAATATTTTTAGGTAATTAAATTTTGAAAGTGTGGAATAGTTTAGGGATTAAATTGGTCTGATTGGACTTTCTTAGAACGTTTTTAAAAGCAGCTAAAGATAGTATGTAGAATTGAAAATAATTATTATGCCATAAAAGGTGTTTTGGAATTCCTTAAACCTTTTGAAATTGAGTCAGAAAATATAAATTTTATAGGATAGCGGAAAATACCTATAATTTTTTTGTAGGCCTTTGTAAATCGTGGAAATAGTTTATATTTTATTTCTACCTTATTAAGGAAAATGGTACCTATTATTAATAACGGTTGTTTCTGAAACATTACTAAAATTTTCGAAATTTTGTTTTTCTACAAAATAATAAACTATACTATTTAGAAAAAAATTTATTTCTCTTATAATTTTATAAAAAATAACGGGAATATTTACATTTCTTGATCTATTAAACAAAACGATAAATTATCTCGACGAATGACACCATGTTCTAGTACGGAAGCTAGCTTTACATTTTTGTTGGTGGTTTCATGGGTTTCATATCAATTTTTTGTAATTGTAGTTTACACGTACATATACCTCTTAACACTTGTTTGCTTTATTAAAAAAGTGTGTTGTTGTGATTTACGTCGAAATAAGTCAAAAACAACTTGAAACCCCATATAAAATCAAAAAGGAGAAACGGAAAAAAATTGAGCCTGTAAATGAACACAACTCAGAAACAAAAATAGCTATCTAATAATAAAAAAATAAAATTTGATTCTTGTGCAGCTTCATCTATATCATTAACTGTTTTTGGTTTTTTAATGGTTTTTCTTGGTGATGAAAATTCCGATATCTCACGGTTATCGATTCTTTTTTTCTCTCCAGAAATGCGGACGACAGTGTTTTTAGATACTCCTGTGGCTGCAGCAACACGATCATTTACATTTTTAAATGGTATTGAAGGTGAATTAAAGTTTCCTTCTCTTCTCATAAACTCTATAACATTGGCTATTATTTCGCGAGATTGACTGTTAATCACGCGGCCTCTTAATTTGCTATTAAACTCCATACTTAGGTTCTATTAAACTGTAATGAGCAAAAAACACAAACGAAAATAAAAGAAATGTTTTAGCGAAATTTACATCTGACATTTACGTCTGAATGAAATAGTGAAATACTTGATGCGCAGAGTGTACTTTCATTGAGTAAATCCGTCGGGATGCCTGTCAGTAGTGCTTTCTCTGTCTAGCCGTCGAAAGCCTCTAGAAATTTGATGAACTGTACTGGCTAACCGACCGCCGGCGCCGGCGGTGCTTGCATTTGTTGAAAAGAAAGCCGTCTTCCGGCGGCATGGTCTTCTTCATACAGGAAAGCCGCCGCAAATCTAAACTGATTTGTTGATCAGGACGGCATGCTATCAGTCAATTGAAAAATGCAGCCGGACAACGGTCTACTATATTTAAAACATTGAATGCCGAAAAAATACTTGTAAAATCGTCTACATTTTTGTGGCAAATGATCATATGTCGTACGTGTTTTATTTGTACATCCGTCTCCTTTTGACAGAGTAGATGAGCTGTGTCCAGGCCGTTGGTGTTTATGCCGGTCGGCGTAGCCAGGTATGGATTGAAAATTTATGGGGGCGGCGAAGCCGCCACCCTACGAGTTGTTGTTACTTCGTCTTCTTGTTGCCACGGCATTATTATTATTTGTTCATGTGTATGAAATTTGCTTCCAAGGTTTATAAAATACTACTGCTAGTACCACAGCAATTACAAATGAATAGTGTTGTCCCCGATACGCGAGTTTTTTCCGGCTGTCAAGTGTGGAAATTTGTCGGGTGTGTAATCTTCTGTCGGGTGTGTGGAATCTTGTCGGGTGTAGAATCTTCTGTCGAGGTCTTAGGTTCTAGTCTTGGATGCTATTCCGGGATGCTCCAAAGGGGTTCCTTGCAGTTGAAGTGTGCTCGTTCGGGGTCACCAATTGTAGGTAGCAGGAAATCAGAATCTCAGTAATTAAAAGATTATTTTATTTTAAAATATGAAAAGCGTTATATAAAAATGGTTGTGTCAAAGGTACGTCTTGTCTTGTTAATTTCGAAATCAGTAATCAATCAATCTTTTGTTTCCTTTTTCCATGGTTACCATCCATCGGACAAGTAGGGTGCTAGTGTACGCAGCTATCGACCAAGATCATAATATATGTGATATTATAATGGTACCATCTGACATTGACACTTGACCAACCTCAAATAAAAACTGACTAAGAAACCTTAAAATAAATTGACGTAAAAGTCAAAACTAAAGGTAAGACTATGTGGTGCTATGATGTCGCCACACTATCATATTGTAAAGGTTCACTAGGAGCTTAAATGGTGAACGATTGTACAAACGTATATTTGCATAAGGTATGTTTTAAAGGTTCACTAGATTTTTATCAAGATGTGAATTGTACTATGCTTAAGCTAGATCGGTGAATAATAATAGACGACTGCAACAATGACTAGGTACATATTATAATAGACTGCAGCCATACTCAACGTGCGGCCCTCCAAGCTTTTTTCTGCGGCCCTCCAGGCTTTTTTGTGCAGCCCCAAACACTATTATTAGGAATTAAAATGGTTGATCTACAGTCCTTTTTTGAAATAAATTATCCTTGTGACTTTTCAAAGCTTATTAAAACAACTAAAACAACATGACTTAAAACGGATCCCTATCCTCACCCATTGTCTTTATTTACATTTCAAAAAGGTGGCAACTCTAGTTATAACCCAAAGATATTGCGGCCCGTGTAGCAAAACAAACAGATTTATGTGGCCCTTGTAGCATAACAAACAGATTTATGTGGCCCGAAAGAAAAAAAGTTTGAATACAGCTGTACTAGAGGATAGCTGAGTTTCCTGATTTCTTACCGTACAGCTATATCATCTTTTTAAATCAAGTCTTTTAACTTTTTTTGTATAGGTATATACATATATTTTTAATTTCTTAGTTTGATATTTATGCAAAAGTGATTAATTTTCTTTTATTGTAATCCTATGTGGCTTGGAAATATTTTTATTTATGCTATATTAGAACATAAATATTGTTACACACGTTTTTGGTATCACAATTTATTTCAACTCAACTTTTACAATAACAATGAAACTGATAACATTAACATATAACGTCTATCATAAAACTGATCTCTGACATCAGGTCGTCGACTTATATAGC